CGTGGGTGTGTTGGGGAGGGGGACTGCCAGTGCCGCTTCCAGAGGGGGAAGGAGAGCCCTCCTTTGCCCTTGCAGTCTTGATCTGTGGTTCCCACTGCACCGCATTCAGCAGAAGAGGACCAAGCGACTTGGAAACTGTCAGCAAGACATCCATACGGGAGGATCTAATTCCCACCCCTTCCCAAGAGCCACACCCCCTGACCAGGTGTCGACCGCCTGAAGAGGCACAACCTAAAGCCCCCCGCCCTGAAACCATCCAGTTGCCTCACTTTAAACTTTGCCCTTTAAACTTGTATTCACAGCAGCATGATGGGAAGGGAGGGGAGAGACAGACAGTAATCTGCACATTTTTAAAACAAGAAGGGAAGACAGAAGAGATCGATATTCTCCCTGAACTGAACGCTCGTTTTTGAGCAAGAACGCAAAACCGAAGACATTTTTGTTAATTCCACATCCGTGGTTAAAAAGATTATTCTTGCTGGAAAAGCACCCAGGAAGGGAGGATGCGGTGTTGGCCGAGCTGCTGCCAATCTGTGGCCCAGAGGATGGGCTCCATGGCCCCCCCCCCCCCCCGTGCCTGGGCTCCCCAGTACAATTCAAGAGGAGCAGCCGTCTTAGTCCACAGAGGCCAGGAGAAAGAGAAGCCCCGAAAGTCTGACATCTATTCCAGCACAAGGAGTCAGAGCTCACTTCTTCAGCACTCTGACTGACGGAAGCGCATGCTGGAGTCCGCGCTGTTAGTCCTTTCGGCACCACTGGGCTGTGGCTATATCTCAGACGCACACACACACCCATTTAAATCCCCCCCCCATTTACATTAAGGAAAGGGTTACCTGTGTCCCTGCTGCTCTGTGATGCCGCGTCGTTTTCCATGTTGTAAACAACGGTTCCCTGAGAGTCCGAAGAGAAGTGACTGGCTGCCGACTCGTAATGGGGGAGCTTAAAGGGGCCACTGTCGGTGGAGGAGTCTGTCCTCGTGTCACTTGCAATGGAAGGCTCCCGCCCTGGGAAACGGAAATCAAACGCGAAGCAGAGCCACAGGTCAGGAAAGGACTGAAAGCAGCGAACTGGGGGGAGACTCTGGCCGGATATAAATGCAAAGCAAGCAAGGGTAAGGATCCCACAGAGCGACCAGTCATTTCTTTGGTACTGAGCAAATCCCCTTTCCTCAAAACGTACAGTAAAAAAATGCTTCGTTGCCACAGACGGTCTTTTACTTGGGAAAAACCTGCCTGCATCCTCTGAACCCGGGCCCCCAAAGGCTTATGCAGTGGAAAGCCCTCACAGTATCCAAGAGGACAGAGCTCCATTGCTGAAGGAAGGCCACCTAGAACAACTCACGTCGAACGTCTGCTACCTGCAGATGGTTCATGGATGGTAATAAGCACTGGGGCTGTGGAGAGCAAAAATAAAAATCACGTCCTGAACTATAACCAAAGGAAGGCAGTGCAGGCATCAGAACACCATTCTGACGTGTTTCTGGAGGAGGAGGGGGAGGAGGAGGCGTGTGTCAGCTAGCTGCCATGCTTTCACTGTTTTCGTTCATCCCTGACTGTAGCGCATGCGCGCATGATTGCTTGCTTTGCTTAACTGCTGTAACTATCGGAAGGCGCTCATGAGACCGTGCGAACTGGCTCTGCCAGACTGTGCTATCTGTGTAACCTTGAGGAGGAGGGAGGGCTTGCATTCCACTGCCGGTGTGAATATGTCTGCTCTCATGGGGCTAGGAGAGTCCCCCGTTCGTGATGTAATATCCCGCCGGGAGAATTCCCGTGCGCGCGCTTGGATTTCATTTGCTTAGCCAACTGCAGCATCAGAGTATATGTATTGATGCCTCGGCCCTAACCGTTATTCCAAACAATGTACCTGTACCACTTGGCAACGGACTTGTATTCTAATAAAGCATAACTTTTCCCTGAAGAGTGTGTGTGGACTTGCAAGCTGTTGAACCTGACAGTGTAGCAGTCTTCAAATGGGTGTCGGAGCTTCCTTCAGGTGTGGTTTAAGAGATTTCTATCGGACAGGCATTAAGGGGCCTGGGTTGAAGAGGGTTTAACGAATTAATGAAATGCTTTTTTAAGAAGACAAGCTGTTACTCAAAAAACAGCATGAAGATAGAAAATAACCTGCAGCACTAGATAATATACAACATATTTTCAAAGACAAGTTCATTGTATGAACATGACTAATTTTGTCCACATGACCATACGTGACAATGTGTATGGTGATGGAAGAGTTCCATGTTATCAACGTTATAAAGTATAACTCAATATCCAAACATCCAAGTCCTATTATGACTGTATGAGATTGTTTCTGTCCAAATAATACTCTCTCTTATTTACCACACAAATCTCTATCTAGTCACCAGACTGAAGAATTAAGCCACGGTGAGCACGACGGCTCCAAGACTTGACCTGACTGGATTTCACAGGAGAACTGGGGCTGGGTGCCCATGGCCGACGGAAGGCCCACGGGACTCTGCGGCTGGATTCAGCTCCTCCCTGCCGCTTCAGCAGTTAAGGATATAAATCAAGAGGACCCCCGACAGGATGGGCTCTGCACCTCCCCCCTACATGGACGTTTGCCAAGAGAGCCTAAAGAGGAGCTTCCCACCCACCACCATTCTCTGGAACATCCAGGCGAAAAGGCTGGCCAACGCCCCCTGCCGCCTTCCCCGGCCTCTCACGATTACAGGGTCTCAGAGGGGACACAGGGCTTCAACGAGATCACCACGGGACAGGCACCTCTGCCGAGGTGGGCGGGCCAGAAAGCAGACTGGCAAGGCTCCCAAAGCCACCTCCCCCCCCCAAAAAAAATCTTCCTCTTAATATACAGTAATTTACCCAGCACATTAACAACTTGTCATGAGGCAGAATTCTAAAAGTCTCACCAGGCAGCTCAGCTCATCTCAACTCACAGAAGCTCCAGTCTGGCCTGCCTGTCTTGCAGGAGCAGGTTGGATAAGCCCAGAGTGACCCCGAAGCCTGGCTGCACCTCTTCCCTTAAGGCCAACAGTTCCTGCCTCCTCGTTTGCCTCCCCCCCCCGTCCCCAACAGTACTCAGGACCACGTCCGGTATCTGGCCCAGCTGTACCTCCCACGGCAGAGGGCAGCGGACAGGAAGAAGCCTCACATAACCCTATGTGAGAAACGCAGTCGGGCACACGGGAAGCAGGGAGGCCGCTGGTCCCACTGAGCCCAGACCCAAGGAGGCCAGAACGCTCAGGCCCACAGCACCCGTTCTTCCCGAGGGCCTTTTAAGCCACCCTGGGCTGTGATGAAAGGCAGCATTTCAACGTTTAAATGAAGAAATATAAAGACATTTCTCCGTAGGCACCTTCTCTTCAGAACGGAAAGGAGGAGAACTGGGCGAATCATCGATGGAAGCGAAGGCACAGATTAGAGCAGGGGTGGCCAAACCGGCTGGACAGAGCAGCCACACAGAGTCAACGTCAGAGGTTTGATAGCCGCAAGACAGGGACAAACACACGTTTTTATTGGGAAATACGCGGATTTGTTTATTAACGTTAAATGAGACTGTGTGAAAGAGCTGCGTGTGGCTCCCGAGCTGCAGTTTGGCTACTTATAGATTAAAGTATTTCCTTTGAAACTTAAGACCTTAAAATTACCCTCCTTGGACATTTATAAGCAGATGCGTATAATAGCCGATGGGATCAACTACTGGAAAAGAAAATGAAATCTCTAGGTATAACAAACGATATGGTGAAGATCATGGAGACCAAAGAAATAATTAGGCTAATTAAACTGCACATTAAGGAACTGGATATTAGCAGCACGTCTGTCAGAGCCCGCAGGTTATGCTTGGTGTCTTTTTTTAGGTGTTGCCCTCCCGATGTGACTGCTGAATTCCTTTATCAGCTGACAATACCAAAGCTCAGAAGAGCTTTTACTTTGGCCAGAATGACTTCTCTTCTGTCGGCGGTCATGGAGAAAAAAGTGTCATATACAAATAGAATATGTAGATGGTCATCTGGTAAAGTCGAAAGTATTGAGCATACGATTGTGGAAGGTCCTCTATGTAGTGAGTTGAGGGCCAGTTTAATTACTCCTTTACTCCAAATGGTCTACCGAGGCACCTGATAGTACGAGGTCACAGGTGACCTCGTTATTATCAGGTACAAATGATTCTGTTACTCTTTCTGTGGCAAAAACTTTTAGGGGCAATAACTAAACAGCAGCAGAAGAATATCAAGTAAGGCATTATCTTATTTTATTTAATTATTTTCTGCTCAAGGCTGTAGTTGTATGAGCAGCACTGTGGAGAAAAACCATTTTGTGGGGGGGGGGTTTTGACATTCTGCGGGCTGGACGGGAGGAGACGGTCAAACTTCAGGTGGGCCTTTCAGTCTCACCTCCTCACCCACCCACCCCGCCTCCAAACGGTAATTTGAGGGCAGCTCCCTCGAGAGGACAGGAAACCCATCAAGGTGATGAGGAGACCCGCCCCAGAATGCTGCAGGAGGGAGAGCCGGTTCCTGGGTGGTGGGAACTGCTGTTTATATTATGGAGTTTTGGGGCGGAAAGCCAGTCAGTCGGCCGGTCAGTCTGTCGGAGCTGGCAAGAGACAGAGGCAGATCTAGCCCTGCTCCCAGGCCAGAGACGAAGGCCATTTGGGGGGGACGGGGACGTGTTTGTCTAGCTTATTCCAGAGTAACAAAGTAATGCACCTGCTCTGCACACCACCTAGACAGGGCCTGAGTTTAGAGGAGGGAGACAGATGAAGTGTTTCTGTCAATGTTATTTTGTTTCTCCCATTCACTTCTGATGTGCCTATATATATAGTAAAGGTAAAAGGCAAAGGTTTCCCTTGCTCGAAAGCCAGTCGAATCTGACTCTAGGGTTGCGGTGCTCATCTCCATTTCCTTGCCAAAGAGCCAGCGCTGTCCAAAGACGTTTCCGTGGTCATGTGGCTGGCATGACTAGACGCCAAGGCGCACAGAACGCTGACGCAGGCCTGGTCCGCTGGAAGCAGTAATAGAGAGAGGCAGGCAGGCAGGCAGGCAGTCATGGCAGGCTGAAAGTAGGCTTAACCTCCCTCCCGTAGCTGTGGTGGGCTCTGAAGCAGGCTGCAAACGCAAACTTCTGAACCCAGAAATGTAGCTTCAAGGACAGAAGAAGGGCTCAGAAATGTCGTGGTCCCTGAAGGGAAGGATGAGGCTCAAAGAAAGCGTCTTTGGTGTGGCCTGTCCTCTGGCAGTCAACTTATTCTCAGGAACATGAGGATGGAAAAAGGAATAAAGAGGATGCCTCGTTTCCCCCACTGCTGTTCTCTAAAGGCGAGTCTTCAAGACACCTTCCCCCCCTAGCCTGGCCATGTCGTTGGCCATGTAAGTTCTATGTTAGGGATTTTTCCCTTCTCTTATGCAAATTGAACACATTTGCCAATATTTGTTTTGAGTAACTGAATCTGCTTCTGCTAGTCACAACAAGGAAGACGAAACAGCTACGGGGACTATGAGAGCCCACCTGCCAGGATTTGTCTGCCGTGTCACCAGGCCATGGTTGGCTGTGTGGAGACTTAAGAAATGGAAGGGCCCCCACATACCATCCTTCTTCGGAGCGAAAAAGAGAAGGAAAAAACTTTAGTGCCGAAGAGATGGGGAAAGTCACCTGAGTCTTCACTGTCATAACCCGTCCGGGTGTGTGGCTGCCAACCGGGCCGGGCCGGGCTCTCCTGCGCTGAGACGGGGGTGCCTCGGGGGTCCGCGTACAGCAGCAGCAAGGGCTGATAGTGACCCTTAATGCACTTGGTCACAACGTCTTTCCACTTGGGACCGATCTGGAAATCAAACAACAGCAAACCCAAACGTCTCTTAGCAGCCTCCCACATGGGTCCAAATGATGGCTCATTTTACACGTCACTCGTTCTAGATTTAGATTTTTTTAAACTGATGTTCCATTGCAGCATTTAAAATGCTATTTTTATCCTGCTTGAAGGGCTTCACTTAAGAATAACCTAAGAGGATGTAAATGAAACCAAAACTTTTAAGGATTCAGATGTGACTTGTTCAACTTGTATATAAACTGTTCATTACTGTTACAAATTAATCTACCTGTGATGGTCCATCCCCACACCCATCAAAGCTACTCAGGTCCACAGAAAAAAAGGCCACATTCTTCCAAGACCAAAGGGGCCACCTGTATCAGAAGTAATAGATAGAAAGGAAACTGGGTAGCATGGAGGTGGTTGCCACAAGCTCAAGAACTTTTTCTGCCTCATCCCTCTTATCACACGCCACAACAAGGGACTCAGAGAAGCAAACATCTCAAAAGGATGAGTTCCTTATTTTATTTTATTTTATTTTTAAAATCATTTAAGATATGAAGGTGGTTTTAACAAGAAATTTAAGTCTTAAAAGTTCAAGGATTATAAAAACTGTAGCAGAAAACTCCCTTGTGTTATTTTTGGCCTTTGGACAAGGAAGAATAAGCGAAGGGATAATTACATGGGATGCGCAATTGTGCCAGTGTAGCAACTCTGTGCCTACAGCCCAGGGCCCTAACCCTAACGCCATTCATTCTAGGGCTTCAAAGGAAAGCACTTCTAAGCATAAATCCCAGTGCCTAAATTTGCACCAGTTCACATCCATTCCGACACGTTTAGGCTAAATCCAGGCCCTCTTCCTCACTCCCAAAAGCTAGGACTGATACACCCTGAGAAGGGGAGAAGAAAGCGCAGTAGTACTTGAAGGGTTTAGCACCGTCCTCTTAGAATCACTCTGCCAGGCAGTGGTGGCTCTTCAACATTAGACAGTAGCAAAAAAAACCACAATCAAGGAAGGTCAATGGGAAAGAAGCAACAAATAATGACACACCCTCCTGCTTTTCAGGTGAGATGGTAGTAAATTAGAAAAGACTCGCATTTATAACCCAAAGAAAGAAAAGTTGAGGAAGTGATTAAGGAGCATATTTTAAGATACCTTGCTGTTCCCCTTAGACCCCTTCTGTGGCCCTTTGCCAGATTCTGCATTCCTGTTTCACTCTTAGCATCACATCCCCCCGTTTCCATGAGATCCTGTCCCTGCCCTGGACACCCCTCCCTCAGCCTCACACAGCACAGAGGCAGGCCTGCGGGCTTTCTTTCCGTGAATGGCCTGCTCACGAGCAATCCTTTCTGCACAGCGGCTCACCACACCGACGGGACAGACCCCGACATGCCACCTCAACCAACCAGCCACAACGGGCGCAAAGGCAGGAAACGGTTCTTGGCCTGGCCCACTTGGTGAGGAGGACTTGCTGCAGGGAGGCAGCCAGACTTTGAGAGGCCTTCACAGGGCCCCCTCGCCTTATCGAGTGACACTTTTAGAAGCTAGAGCACAACAGACTGGGAATTAGTACACGTTGCATAAGAACAGGCCGCCTCGTGAGCTGGCAGAAGTATGGTCTGACACACTTGTCACTGGAAAACCTTTGGGAAAGTACTCATTCAATGCGCAAGGATTTTTACAATTTCACCCAAAACCTCCCGTTCCCTCACCTCTTTGACATGTGCATCATCAAAGTACATCCACTTGCGGATCTTTGTTTGGAAGAAGAAGGTAGAGTAATGCTTCCCATAATAACAGATCATTCCAACCAAGTACAGCTCACACAGCTTTGCTCTGTCATCTGTTACTCTGAAGAAAAGCTTTGAAGGGTAAAAAGGAGGAATCACCACAATACTTAATTTTTTTGCATTAAAAAACTTCAATTCATTCTGTGGAAATTTCGTATGAGTGCTTATTTCAATGTAAACCACCAGGAGATGTTTGGGGTCTAACTGCCAAATGAGCAACAATGGCCCTGACTGTAAATGCTGTTCCAGCACGGCAGGCTGTTTTAGGAGAGGGCCCAGGACGGAGGGCTTGGACCCTGACGCACATGCACGCTTTGCAGGCCCTTCCACGGGCCAAGGAAACATACGGGCAACAGCACTATATAAATGGACACACGCAGCAGAGCAGGTAAAAGGACGGCCGCAGCGTGTGCCACGGACTCACATCTCCCAGTTTCAGGCAGGTGCCCAGGCTGTGGATGACGTCCTCGGCCAGATCCGAGTGGTCCGAGTCCCACACCAGTCCGATGGTGATGATCTGGGGGGAGTTCATCAGCACACGACGGATGCGGATCTTTTCTCCACAGTTGCTCTGAGGAGGCATAAAAGAACGCTTTCATTGGCTGGACTAAAATTAAGTCCAGCGCCGGGTGGCACCTTCCTGCTCCCAGGTTTTCCAGTCACTTCCAAACATTTTGCTTTCACACATAAAGGACTTGAAATATAAAAGACTGCCAAGCAGAAATGTGGGAGTGCAGAAGCTGATGAATTCTTTGAAGACAGAATACACCGACACTGAAGGCTGGTCTCCCAGAATATTAAAGATTTTTTTTTTTAAAGGCATTCAGTGGGGGGAGGGAGATAAACCAAATGATGAGGTTCTAAAAGGCCATTCGGAGACTTTCTTTGGAGAACAAGTCAAGCTTACACTAGCCTTAATGAAATGTATTTCTATGCTTTTAAAATAACAACTTATTTTTAAAATATATTTAGGGTGCCCGTACCCCCCCCTACACACACACACACACACACACTCATGACCCCCGGAAGGATACAAACAGGCCAACTTTAAAAAGCCTCCAAAGGTCCCCAGAATGATCCAGGGTAACAAGGGAAGTTTTTTAGATTAACTTGCCTCTCTCCCTGCTTCAAAAGCTTTTCCTTCCCCCTGAGAACTCGAGAGTCTTGCAGGACAGAAGTCACCGCAAAAACATCCTCTTTTATAGGGAGTCTCATTTTACAGCTGGATCCAATTAGCCATGACCCCGTCCCCTCCAGCCAAGCAGCCTCTTCCCTCTCCACCCGGCAGGCAGCCGGCTGAAGCCCACCAACTCCATTGAGAGTCTGTTTGGAAGCTTTGCTGCAGTCTCTTGCATGCCAGACAATCCGAGAACAGAACTGGGGACGAAGAGAACTTTTGGACAAATGTCTGTTTGTAAGGTACAGTGGCTTGTGCTCAAACAGACCCCACACACAACTCTGCTGGGACAACTGGATCTGCTGGGGCAGAAGAAGCAAATTAAAGGGAAGTAAGGAAAGTCAGCCGATCAGAAAGGGCCATCACCCACAGGAGAGGACGAGGAAGTGACAGCGGCCCCCAGAGCCAGCTCAGCTGAGCAGCACTTCAGAGGCCACTCTGCACCCCGTGGCACCAGCCGTGGGCACTGGGGCTCACCCATCCCCTCATCCCACGACATGGGAGCAGCACAGGAGGAGATGGACGCTGGGTCGGCAGACAGAAACTACCCGTGAAGGGTCTGAGAGAGCGTCGCCTGGTGCTGCTGGGCCACCAATGTCTCGCTCGGGCAGAGTGGCCCACACCCGCCCAGAGGCTTCCCTGCCAGTGAAACGGCCACTTTGACCTTGTCCATATCCCTGCTGGGTCGCAGCAGTGCCACTCAAGCGTGTGACCTTCCCTCTGGGGGAAGTCCCAGACACCCCTGGCATGCAGAAGGACCAGATTCCCAAAGCGGCTGCAGTTCAAGACAGATCCCAGCACCCCTATTTAGTCTGCTGCTTTCACGACAAGGCAAAGATACTCACCGGGCAATTTCTCAGGTCCCCCATCGTGCTGGCATTTTGGAGCAGCTCTCCAAACATGTCTGGAGTGGGTTTCTCTCGTCTTTCCAGCATGCAAATGGCCTGATTGCTTCCATTAGGGAAAAGAATAAGGACCGGGGGGGGGGGGGGGGGAGATTAGTCAAAGAATAAGGACAGGGGAAAAAATAGTCAAAACACATTGTAACATCACTGGTAACGTACAGTTCAAAGCGAGTCTGCATCTGTGAACAGTGTCTGTTGGGAGCCCAGACTCCCACAGGGCATCATAGGAGCAGAAGAGAGAAGCCAGTGTCGGCTCAGGCCAGTGGCCCCTCCCGTCCAGCACTCTTCTGGGCCGCACTCTGTCCAGGTGGGGCCCCTGGCCGTGGGTCTCTGCACGGCTCCATGCTGCCTTCCCCACCCTGGACACAGCTCTTGCTCCGACAGCAAGGCATGAAACAGACTCAGTCACTGGGTGCTGAGCCCCGTCTCACAGGGAGCAAGGAAGGAAGGAAGGAACTCGCCAGCAGGGCCTCTCCACTGAGACCGGGACCTCAGTGCCCGAGAAGGCAAGAGGCCCTGCTTCTTGTTGGGCTCCATCTGGCCAGGCCCTGGCTGAGCCCCACTCCTGCAAAGCACCATGTGGCACAGGGTATGTGTCCTTCAGTGGAGACTCGGCTCAGGAGCTGCAACGCGGGCTGCTAGCCTGGTGCTCCTTTGCTGCCGAGTTGCCTCCTCACTCGGGGACTGGTGGTCTTGGGATCTGGCCCTACAATGCCCGGGACCGACTGCCCTGGGTTCTGGTGCATGCTGGCAGCATTGCCTGAAGCTAAGCCTCCCTCCGGGGGTTGAGTCCTTTGACTGAGGCCTCAGGATCCAGGGGCTCTGGGTCTACAAGGGGTCCAGTGAGCCTCCTGGTCCTCGCTCAGAATGATCTCTGGCTCCTCCTCCCAGGCTTCCTCTGACGAGTCTGCTTCCATGTCGTCCCCAGGGTGGCTCACCACAGAAACGATATATTACAAAAACGGTTGAATGCTGTGGTGGTTTTACATAACATGTTATGTTTCATTCATGCAGATGTGGATTTCTTTTGCATTTGGTTGCGGGAATGGCTCCACAGTTTAAAAGCATCTTGATCTCCCTGTATTTTATCATGCTGATCCATGATCGTAATACATTATTGCGTGATTGACGGCTGAATGATTGGCGTTTTGAAACTTTGCACTGAGGTGCAAGGTCCATTCTTACAGCTCTGGTTTTTTATTCACCCCCAAATACACGTTAATCCTCCCCTCCCCCGAAACCTTCCCAGCCTGTTGCAGGAGTCTTCCTGTCTCTGGCTCAGAGAAAAGGCATTGTGTGTCCCTAAACATCATAACAGGTCTCAAAATTCTCATTTTAAATGACATAGTGAGGCCAAGTGTGTAGAGCCGGGCTAGGCAGGCTGTAGCACCTGAGATTGTGGGCGCACGCCGTGTAAAGACAGCTGCATGCGCTTCAGGAAGCTCCATGTGTTCCGTGCAAAAGAGAAAGGCACTGTTGCAGGCCTATGGGAGAGATACTGGGGGGGGGGGGCGCCAGTCAGTGGGTAAGAGAGACCATTATATGTTCCTGTGAAGGAAGGAAGGAAGGAAGGAAGGAAGGAAGGAAGGGAGGCACTACACTGAAGTGCAGAGAATACTGAGTCATGATCAAGCATCAGGATGAGAGGGGGACAGTAGACATGAGATACTTGGGGACTCTGAGAAAGCTCTGGACAATGCCCTTCACCAGAGTCAGCCACCTGCCTCCAAGGGACTTGAACTCTGAATCTGAGAAGAAGAAGAAGAAGAAGAAGAAGAAGAAGAAGAAGAAGAAGAAGAAGAAGAAGAAGAAGAAGAAGAAGAAGAAGAAGAAGAAGAAGAAGA